TAGCTTGGCTGGGCACTGCATGTGCCCTGTCCAAAAGCTACCTCCTGGAACAAGGAGGAGCAGATCTGCTCCTGCCTCTGCCCACACCGGCTCCGTGGGCTGGGAACAGTGGTACCTGGCCCTCCAGCTGCATTTTGGTGGCTGGATGTGGCCTCTGGCGATGGCTGTGGACCCAAAAGAACCAGGGCAGTCCCCAGGGCAGCCAGTGGCGAGTGCTGCAGAGCCCCTGCTCCAGTGGTTTCGGGATCCTGAGTGTCTCAGTGCCCACCCTGGGCAGGTCCCTGGAGCAGCAGAGCTGTGGAGAGTGATGGGTGACTATGGGCAGCATGCCCAGCTGTGGCTAAAGGCTGGAGACCCCACCAGAGCCATGCTGAGAATGGGGGGCTCCTCCAGGCTCCGGTGTGCCCAGGGGCTGTGTGGCTATGCCAAGTCCAGCCCTTGCCCAGGTAGGAGTGCAGAGTGGGTGGCACATGTGGAGCCACGGGACAGGGGCCCACGGAGGGACGTGTGAGCCACCAGCAGGCAACGCTGGAGGCACAGCCTCCCTCCTGGGTGCTGGGTCAGGCCAGGCAGCCTCACTAGTGCAGGATGGGATACAAGGGGACAAGCTGTGAGCCGGTGCATGGTCACAGGTCCACCCCAAAGTCCCCTCAAGCCTGCTTCTCTACTGCAGCTGCTCATGTGCCAAACCCAGTGCCAGCCACGGGGCACAGCACAGCTGAGGGACGCGGCACAGCCATGGGGCATGACACAGCTGTGGGGTATGGCAGAGCTGTGGAGCATTGCACAATCGTGGGTTATGGCACAGCCGTGGGTTATGGCACAGCCGTGGGTTATGGCACAGCGGTAGCACATGGCACACCTGCACATCATGGCACAGCTGTGTCCCTGCTCAGTGTCAAGTGGCTTTGGCCACCAGCTGCCCACCCTCAGCACCTGCAGCACCCCCACATCCCTGCACAAGGGCTGCCTCCAGTCCCTGCCATGGGGTCGGGGCCACATCAGGCACCATCCTGCATCCTCACCCCCGGCCACCTCGGTGTTCCCAGGCTTCTCGCTGTGCCCAGGGCAGAGGGTGTAACTCGGAGCACGAGGTCTGAGGGGATCAAAACCCCTCCATGCTGTGCCAGGGTGGGGAGGTGGTGGCCTGACCCTGTGCCCCCCAGCCATGAGCCGCCGCGTGGTGCGCCAGAGCAAGTTCCGCCACGTCTTCGGGCAGCCGGTGAAGGCCGACCAGATGTACGAGGACATCCGTGTCTCCAAGGTGACATGTGACAGCTCCTTCTGCGCCGTCAACCCCAAGTTTGTGGCCATCATTGTGGAGTCTGGTGGCGGGGGGGCCTTCATTGTCCTGCCCCTTGCCAAGGTGAGTGGGGAGGATGCTGAGGTCTGGCTGCCTCCCTGGGATATACTGGGGGGGACATGCTGGTGGGGTGTTGCTTTTGGGGGGTTGCATGGTGGGTGTTGCTTTTGGGTGACCCCAGAGCCCCCCAGCTTTGCCCCAACAGCCCCTCCTCACGTGGGGGCTCAGGGCAAAAACAGCCTGGCTGATCATCAGCACCTGTGAAAAGTAACATCCCAGGGGTAACTGAGGTGATGTGGGAAATCCCCAGGTGCTTTCTCCCCAGTTCCTCAGGGACACATGATGCCCATGGAGCAGCACTCAGTGGGGTGGGGTCTGCCCTGCCAACCCTGGCTGAGAGACTGGAACGGGGGTCCCCAGCCCCTCCACGCCATCAGAAGGGACACAAACCAGTCTCAGGGGCACATTGTTCCCCTCTGTGTTCCTATGGGGCTGTAAGCCAAGTGAACCCCATTCCCCCTCTGTGCCTCGGTTTCCCCCTTTCAAGGCAGGTGCAAATCTCTGGCCACCACCAGGGATCCCCTGCATGTCCCCACTTGTGCCACAACCCCTGGCTGGGCTGGGCTTGGCTTCCCAGGGCACCTGGCAGGATTGCCCCCAGCCTCTGGAGATTCATTCTGACACCTCAACGTTGCAGACAGGACGGGTGGACAAGAACCACCCGCTGGTGACGGGACACACGGCGCCCGTGCTGGACATCGACTGGTGTCCCCACAACGACAACGTCATCGCCAGTGCCTCGGAGGACACCACCGTCATGGTGAGGGGCTGGACCCCGAGTGGGGGGGGCAGCGGGCGCTGGGGGAGCGGTGCAGAGCATTCCCCCCCCTTTGCTGCCTGCGGAGTGTCACTGGCCTATTTTTAGCCCCGGTGCCATGCGTTCGCGCTGGCGGCGGCTGCTCGCTCCATGATGCAGCAGTTTGTGCTAAATATACCCGCCCTGGCGACTCAGCACCCAGGAATAGCTGGGGGGGGCTGAGGGCTGCGCCCCGGCCATGCCCCCCGCCCTGTGCCCACCAGCACCCCGAATGCTGAGGATGCACCCCAGGATGGAGGCGCTTCTGGAGTCTCCTCGCCACCCTCCCTGCAGGCTGAGCCGAGATTAACGATGAGGTTAATTGGCTCTGAGGCCCTCATCCGCTTAGCCCTCACATGCGGGGTGATCCCCAACATCCCGCTCTCTGTCCCTCCCCCAGGTGTGGCAGATCCCTGACTATGTCCCCGTGCGCAACATCACGGAGCCAGTGGTGACGCTGGAGGGACACTCCAAGCGGGTGAGCATCATCTCCTGGCACCCCACCGCCCGCAACGTCCTGCTCAGCGCAGGTAAGGGGGTCCCGGGTTGCCCTCCCCGGGGTCAGAGGGGATCCGTGGGGTGACAGCACCTGCCCCCTCGGTCGTCTGCAGGCTGTGACAACCTGGTGATCCTCTGGAACGTGGGGACGGGGGAGATGCTGCTGGCGCTGGATGACATGCACACTGACCTCATCTACAACGTGGGCTGGAACCGCAACGGCAGCCTCCTCGTCACCACCTGCAAGGACAAGAAGGTCCGTGTCATCGACCCCCGCAAGCAGCAGATCATAGCGGTGAGTGCTCCTACCGTGTCCCCCCCAGCCCGCCGTGGGGTCCCCTCGGTGCCTGCCTGACCCTACTAACCCCCACACCGCGCGTCTCTGTGTTTGGTTTAACCCGCTAACGCCGGCGCAGGAGAAAACCAAACCGCACGACGGCACCCGCCCCATCCGCGCCATCTTCGTGGCCGATGGCAAGATCTTCACCACTGGCTTCAGCAAGATGAGTGAGCGGCAGCTGGGCCTCTGGGACCTGGTACGAGACGGTGGCTCCCGCCCAGCCAGCACCGACCTTGCAGAGCTCAGCCCAGCCAGGAATGCTTTGGGTGCTGGGGATACTCTCCAGCAGCGCGTGTACCCCGGGAGCATCGTGTGCTCCCCTGGAGTAGGACTCAACAGCTGTTTTAGGGGACAGATCCGGACTCCCTCCATTTTCCCCCCCTTCCCATGCCCCATGCTGACTGTCCTCCCTCCCCCCCAGGAGAGGTTTGCCCCCCACGAAGGGCTGAGGCCCGTGCGGGCCATCTTCACACGGGAAGGACACATCTTTACCACGGGCTTTACCAGAATGAGCCAGCGGGAGCTGGGCTTGTGGGACCCGGTAACGAGGCCGCATGGAGTGCTGCCCCGGGAACTTGGCCCCCCTGACCCCCTGCCACCCTCCCCCACCCCAAGACGGGGTGCCTGCAGCATCCCCCCTCCAAAAGATGCCAAGTTCCCAAGTGTGCCGTGCTGTGCTGGGGTGGGGAGGGGGCTGGGAGGCAGGGAGTGCTGGGGGAGGCGGGTACAGCCAGGCTGGGGGGTACCCAGCCATGCAGGTAAACAGGAGTGGGACGAGGGTCTGGGTGGGGCATGCCAAGCTGCCTGCCCGGGGGTTGTGTACCCCAGGGAGGGGGACAAGCCCTGTCCCCCAGTGTGCTGTGGCTAATGTGTGTGACTAACCAGGGTGGGGGTTTTGTGGCCGCTGCTCACATCCCTCCACCACTGCGGCCCTGCAGAACAACTTTGAGGAGCCCATCGCCCTGCAGGAGATGGACACGAGCAACGGGGTCCTTCTACCCTTCTACGACGCCGACTCCAGCATTGTCTACCTCTGCGGGAAGGTAACCCCCCACCCAGGGTGCACCTCCATGCCACCCCCCCTCGGGGGGGCTGGCTGACACCCATCCCCACACCCACAGGGTGACAGCAGCATCCGGTACTTTGAGATCACGGACGAGGCACCCTACGTGCACTACCTGAACACCTACAGCAGCAAGGAGCCCCAGCGGGGCATGGGCTTCATGCCCAAGCGTGGGCTGGATGTCAGCAAGTGTGAGATTGCCAGGTGAGAGCAAGGGGGCCTGGGAGGAGCCAGAGGGGTCAGGGGCTCAGCTGGACCCTGACTGCCTCTGCCCCACTCAGGTTCTTCAAGCTCCATGAGCGCAAGTGTGAGCCCATCGTCATGACGGTGCCACGCAAGGTGAGCTCGGGGGGCCCAGGGGAGATGGGAGGTCTGGGGGGGGGACACTCCATGTCTCACTCTGGTCTCTCCCTCCCGCAGTCAGACCTCTTCCAGGATGACCTGTACCCTGACACACCAGGCCCCGAGCCGGCCCTGGAGGCAGATGAGTGGCTGTCGGGGAAGGATGCAGAGCCCATCCTTATCTCGCTGCGGGACGGGTACGTCCCCATCAAGAACCGAGAGCTGAAGGTGGTCAAGAAGAACATCCTGGACAGCAAACCTCCCCCAGGCCCCCGCCGCAGCCACTCCACCTGCGAGTCTGACTTCTCTGTGAGTGTCCTGAGGACAGGGACATGGCAGCAGGGCTGTCCCCCTGTCCAGGGTGGGTTGGAGGGGCCAGAGGGGACTGACTCCTTGGTGACCCTGTGTCTCCCCTCCCTGCAGCAGCCAGCCTTGGAGGAGGTGTTGGAGGAGATCCGTGCCCTGAAGGAGATGGTCCAAGCACAGGAGAAGCGCATCTCCGACCTGGAGAACAAACTCTGCCAGTTCACCAATGGCACGGACTAGCGCGGTGGCCAAGGCCACGGGCAGGGCAAGGACTGCCCCGGCCTGCCGGGGATTAAAGCCAAGTCCCCACATTGGGCAGGAGCCCAGAGCCATGTTCTTTCCCCAGGAGACGAAGGGGCAGGGAGGAGGTTGGACCCTGACCCCCCCCCTCCACTAGCATCAGTTGCATCTTGCTCCTGGGGTGCCCCAGCATATGGGCACCCCACTGCAGCACCCAAGGGGGTCCCGCTTCAGTGCCC